AAAGTTCATTTTGCATAATAGCTATTTTATTTTTGCATTTAATACTGAAAAAAATAAAATATACACTTAAGTAACATTTGCAGCATGCCATTCCCCAGTGTCACATCCACCAGCTGGATAATCTCCAGAGGGTCCTACTGCAACTTCATGGACTATCAAGAACTCCTTGACTTGTGATTTTTCATTATGTCGTGATTTGGTTCAGCTGTTTTTTTTTTTTGTTTTTGTTTTTTTTTTTCCATTAGCTTGTTAAGTCCTGCCTATATAAGTCCTATGTTTTCACTCTTTTTTGTGAAGTCTTGTTTGTCATCACTGCATTTCTGAGGTCTCTCTCTTTTCTTGTGTGGTCCTGACTCTCAGACTGTTTTTATTTTAACTGTCTTTTCAGCAAAGAAAAAACTAAAATATTAAGCAGCACAAGTGTTTTATTTTAACCGATAATAAGAAATGTTTCTTTAATGTGTGGTTATGTGACACAAAACTTAGTAAATAAAATGTTTAGTAAATAAGACCCAATGTGAGACATCTTTGAAATCGTGTGACATTAGAGTGTATCCTTAAGTGATAAGGCATAGCTAAATTCTCCATTCACTCTTCATATAATCTCACTGCAGTCTAGGAGAAACAACTGAGATTTTATAGTGATCTCATTTGTGATTTTCCTGTGGGAAATTGCTTACTTTCATCATTACTCTCCAGCACCGCTGCGCAAAGCCTTATTGCCTTGGAAATAGCAGTTATAGCTAATTAAATTCTTTTTTCTTGCTGTCCACGGGAGCCAGGCACACAAGATAGCACAATCAAAAGAGTTTTGGAACGCATGTCCGATGGACATGTGCGGTGAGTTCTGCACCCCTTGTGTAAGCCACCATCTCCTGGATGCTGCTAAAGAATGATAATGGGTGGCCATGTTTAACCCCTGTGAGGTAACAGCTAGAGACAATGTGTTAAACATTAAACATCTGTGTGAGATTGAGCATAAGGGGTGTATGCGTCACATTTACAATTGTGCCATTTCAGCATGTCCCTCAAGGCTAGTCGTGTGGTAATACGGCTGTGAAGAATTTTTGATTGCGCTCAGGGGATCGGGACATAAGAATTTGAGATGATATTTGCAATCTCTGCTGTGTCGCTCAACAATAGCGCAATTATTTTGTTCAGAAGCATGGCTCAGAATCCTTTCGAAGGAATACTATAGAGCTTTTGCTGGACACACCTTCAAATTGTGGACATGAGGCAAGATAAGCACAAACTGAAATCACAAATAGAGAGAACATTTATGGGCACAATGAGGATAGACAAAGGCATCTCTTTGGAGGGACTGATGCCACTTTTGATGCCATTGTAGTTAATTAATAATATAATTTTAAATATCCACCCTGTGGTTGGTCCCTCATCTAAAGCAACAGCAGGTTATTAGCTGTAAGACAGTAAGTTAATTAAATTTCATAATTCACATGTTCATAAATGCTCTCTTATTAGTGAACAGTAAACATAAGTGCTGTGCTTGTTCACAGCATGTCTTTGTTGATGAATTTGCATATAAATAACATAAAGCGCTCAATGGATGTGACTTATGGGACCCAATTCAGAACTCAAAAGTATTATAAGAGTCACGGATTGTAGCTGAACGTTACATGAGTGTTACAACTGATATTTTTCTTCAACAAGGATGCATTACAATGATAAAAAATAATAGGACAGAAATAAATTTATAATGTAACAAAATATTGATAACAAATGCTTTTTGCTATGCTAAATGGTTTTAAACCTTCTATTCATTAGAAAATCCTGGGAAAAAAAAAAGATTAGGCTTTCCAATAAAAAATTAAGCAGCACAACTGTTCATTCATTTGTCGCTTTGGATAAAAGCGTCTGCTAAATGAATAAATGTAAATATTTCTTGAGCAATAAATCATCATATTAGACTGATTTCTGAAGGATCATGTGACACTAAAGATTGGAGTAAAGGCTGCTAAATAAATCAATTACATTAGGAATAAATTACATTTTAAAATATATTAAAATATAAAACACTCGTTTTAACAGCTTTATTGTTTTTTATTGTATTTTTAATCAAATAAATGTACCGTTGATGTTGGTGAGCATAGGAGACTTTAACAATATTAAAAATTTTGCTGACGGCAAACTTTTGAACAGAACAAATATTGACCACAAAACCAGAGGCCACTGCTGTTAAAAAGTTTACCAACTCTTTACTTTGTGTCAGCTTGCAAAAAGTTGGTTGTCTAGAGAATTATGCCCAAGAGTAAGATAAGATAAGCTTATTACCGGTTTTCTGTAGGCAATGTTCTCTAACAATTATGCTTCAGGATAGAGTTGTCAAAAAGTACCGACTTCAGTTCTGAATTTTTTTAAACTGTGACGCTTTAAGCTCTGTTGAGTGAATTTGTAAACACTTCTGATTGTCCATTGTGCTCATCAGATATGTCTGTTGCTGCGTCCCAATTCGCATAGGCCTACTATCCGTCCTAAATAGTATTCGAAAATAGAATTAGTACGTCCCAGATCGCAGTATGTTGAAATGAGTGTTAGAAAGAGACCCGGATGGCCTACTATTTCCTGTCAGAATCCGAAGTGCAGATCGATGCACACTCTAACGGCTGATATTGCCCACAACCCATCGCGCGTTGGATAAGGATTCGGTTAGAACTACAAACTTGAGTGAAAAGTTTTTAAAAAACTACATACATGGAGGACGTGTGAGTCTGGCGGTTATGTAGAGAGGTTTAGATAAAAAGGGGTTTGAGTGTATCTAACCTGTGGCCAATCAGATGTGATTCGGCTCAACAGCACTCAAAGCATCACATGGTACCATAGTCTGTACTTTTTGGCAACTCTACATCAGGATGACTCCTGTATCAGCTGAATTTCTAAGATAGGTGGTCCTGAGCTATTCTGTGTCCATATGGTATGCTCGTATATGCATTACACACCTCTATGGGGTGACAAGGCCCTTCCTTCAAATTAAAGTCTTTAAATTGCCAGCACTTGAAGGCTATTGGCGGGTCGGATCTCGTCCAAAAGAGAACGACAAGATCAGCAGACTCCTTAAACACCATGTCCATGAACAACTCTCTACATGCCTTAAATCAGGTCACAATAAGATTAATGGTGTTTGCTCTGCACAGGAAAACTCACCAACACATTTGTTTCAAATGCACCGTAATGATTTGTGTGTTCAAAGAACAAACAGCACAGTTGATATCAGCCATATCAAAATAGTTCTTAAAAGTCACACACAACTACCAAAACGCTTGTTTTAGAACTAGTTCTGCACACTCTGCATCCGATTAGTCAAATGCATTGTGGACACACTACCTCTGAGTGTGTTGAATCACCGGAAAGAATCTAAAAAGCTGAAAGATAGCAGAGGCTTTAGTTTGAGCCACAGTGTGCATATGAATCTATTGGGATGTATTAAGAGTATATAAATGGATAAGAACTTCAGAATTTATATATCCACATGGGCAAGACAGATCACTGCGTTTCCCTGTCAGTGATGGAAGAGAGAAAGAACTAAATTGCCTAAATGGCTATCTCCATTGTATGTTGCCTCTCTTGGCACTGGCGTATTAAATGACAATCATGTGTCTTAAATCAATTGCTTCAGGCAGGAGATATATGGGAAAAGCAACCTAAAAACGTCAATAAGGCAGTCAGTTGATCTTTGGCCGTAACTAGCCATGAACGTGACTGTGCATTGACCGCATTTAGTGGGACGAAGCACTGTAAATATAAAACAAAGGATCCCCTGACACATGCCAATGATCCCTGTATTTATTGGGTTCAAATCCTGCTGTTTGTGCACTAAATGAAGAAAGACCTGCCCGGCTGTCCAACATTAATTACCACATGTATGCTTTCTTGTCTCCTGACGAATAAAAAAGCCATGAGCTACCATTAATTTCGCCTTGTCTCTCCTAACCAGTAACGGTTCTCAGAATCGAATCAAATGACTATCACTTTTGACGTGCCACTAAAATAGAACCTTTAGGGCATTAAACATGCACACAAAATTATAAATAACAAAGCAAATTTGAAGAGCTGTAGCATATAGTGATTTCATTATGCTACCATGACATAAATGTATGTAAACCAAGCAAAGTTCACATTTACATGTCACTGGTAGTATATAGTCACATCCTTGCGACATACAGTTTAAAATTTATGCATGTGATGTATTATTCAACAAAAGAAGACACAAAGGTCCCTGTGAGTTAAAACAGCCCCGACATTTATCTCCTTAAGGATCAACACAGAGTGCTTTAGAATGACTTAATGTACCGCCGAAGAAAGTCTCCCGAGAATAAGCTTTCAAAACGTTGCTTCATTTGATACAGCGACATCTCGAGATGAAAAGAGAGTAAACACATTTAAATGCAGCAGAGAGTGCTCATAAGAAACAGGATTATTATATAAACTCAGTGTAGAGATCTGCAATGGGATTTTTTGGAAGTGTAATTCAGATGTGCAGTGGTCGGTCGGTAATGGAAATTGAGCAAAGTCAACGAGTGGCAAATTATTATCACTCTGGGTTTGCCATCTTAAATTGTACCATACACTGATCTCAAATCCGAGTTTTGTTTTTTGCCTCCTACTGAGTGTCGCATGATGACAGCTGTGATTGAAATTATGATGGTTCAGTATAAGAGACATTTGTTATCGGATTCAGTAAAGTGATTACTTTTAGATGGAACATATGTTGTGAAATAACGCCATACTGTAATTTGTCAGAGGAACAGTTAAGGCACAACTGCACGCAGCACTAATTATATTATTTTACATTATTGTCATTACCAAACCACATTAAGAGTGCACATTTTTACCAACTAAACTAATTTTGTGATCTCAATAATATTTCGAGCTCATCTTCCGCTCCAGATATTGAGTAAACAAATTTGAGAAGTAGAGCACTTTAGTATTCAATAATGTACCCTGCTCCAGGCGAGCTGATGGTTGACATACTACGGACTGACCTTATCCGCCATGATCATGGACGAGCCCCCGTGGATCCCCAGGATGGGTATCAAAGTCTGAGAGGAAATAAAATCCAAAATCTGGGCGATGGCTTCCTGGTCTGTGCCGTCCCCAAACACCACTCCGTGGATTTTAGTCCCAGACATGAGATCGCACACATGGTTGATGATGCTTCTGGGGTCTGTTTCATTCACCAGCAGGGTCACCACGTTGACATCAATGGGGTCATCTTTGCTCCACAGAGCCCGTATATCTCGATCGGAAATGTAGCGTGTTTGACCCAGGATCACAGCAATGTTCAGTATGGGCACTTTCTCTGCCGCATGTGAGACAGTGATGAGGGTAAGGAGAGCTGGAAGAGTCAGAAGAACCAACCTGGAAAGCCCCATAGTGCTCGACTTCATTCCCTGCCGAACAAAAACACACACACACACACACATACACATTTTGATATAATGCATTCAGAGATTTACAAAAATATACCATGTAATACACTGCTAGTTTCTTCTTTAAGAAGAAACAAAATGACTCCACATGCCTAAATCTTATGCAACACTGCGTATTACATATTTTAGTTTTACCAACAATACCTATTTTATAACTATATACACACAATTGCACCCAGTGGAGTTACACAACAACGGCGAGGAGCGCAGCAGGATTTTATAATCTCATTTTGGAATTTAGGCAATGAATAACTAGCAATGAGCAAATGATGAATATTACATGTGACACTGGATCTGAGCAGCAAGCAGGGCAGAAGAGAGCGGAGCTGACATCATCACATGAAAAGTCTTGGACTAACTGAGCGGAGGAAGCTCACAGGCCCTCCGCTACTGTGGCCAGCATGTACATGCAAACAGATGCATTGTAAAGCAAGGCATGAAACTGCAGAGAAACAACATATGGCGCAGGGGCTGTTGAAGCTTGCGATTCTCATAAGGAATAATGCATCATCTCATCATTATTAATGATAAAATAATGAGCAAGCAAGATTTATTCGTTTCGGCTGTTAAGAATGCAGTAGGGCAACATGAATGGTTGATTTGTTTAAATGCAGTTGAGTAGAGATCTTTGTGTGATTTGATCAAGACTTGTTTTAAGACAGCAAAACTCAAAATGTGATATATGCATTTAGACTAGACGATTTAATTTTTTTAAAGCTTTACAGTGATTTGATAATTAATAAATATAGATGTGTAAATATATCAACATGCTCGTTTAAGTTTCTGTATGTATTCAATCATTGTTGTAAATTAATACATGGCATTTTGTCAAACACATAATGTATTTAAGCAAAAATGTGACATCTACATGCTCTAAACATATAGGCTACTGAAAAAAAATATCATCAGAGGAATATAATTATGAACAATGTGACAAACATTAATGAATATGACTGGAAACCAGGTCTTACAACAATTACATTTAACAATATGATCATTTACTTTAATAAAATTAATTAGAGAGGGTGGGGAGGCTTAATTTATGTAGACTTTGGTGTTTGCGTGAATAAAAAAAAACTGACCAGATTAGTTATTTTAGGCAAATACAATATCAGTGTTCATACAACGTGACAGAGATCTTAACATGGGTAATATATCTAGATGAATATTTCGTTTGATTCCTCATTAATTTCCTCAAAACGACCACTATGCAAGTGCGCCCCCTATTGGCGCATCTCGTTTTGCGTTCCTACGCTGCAGGACACCTTAATATTCAATGGTAAAGTATAGCATGCGCGTCACAACTTTACAACAGACGCAAGTAAGGTTATTAATATCCATTATTAGACATAAAAAAATTAAAAAACGAAATGACCAATAAAAAATTAAATCGCCTTTTTAAAAGAAAAGTAGCCTACGTAGGCTTATTCGAAGTTGAATCAACAACTCGACCAAAATCCGCATTAATCTGTAACACATCAAAGGAAGCATATACAAGTCCTCTATGTAACGCCTTTTCAAATGACACATTTGTTTTTTCTGTTCTTTTCCCCCCTCTTTTTCTCGTTCATTAATAAACGAATTTGTTCGTTTTAAACGAAGCGCACTCCTGAGGGATGCTCACATGATCGTGACACGAGTTTTCTTACAGGTAAAATAAGAGCGTTTTGTTGAACATAACTCAATCAAATCAAACATAGCCTACTGTTGAAACCCGCTACATTCTAACGATATAAAATAACCAATCCCCCTTTCTTCATTTTATGCATTATTTTAGGATCGCGCATCCCTAATGATGCAGGGAAAAGCCGCGTATTCCTGCATCAAATTCATATCAGAGTAACTGAATGGTGAGACTGAATTTGAAACCGTCTATATTCATTCTCCATTGCCCACATCATAATAAACCACGCGAATTTTTACCGAAATCAGAGTGAGGGAAACAGTGATAGGCTACTCACAGCATCCCTCTTCCACAAAGCTCCAAAGATGTTGAATGGGGTGACATTGCAACAGTCCTCCTCCTCTCACAAGCCAGGTTGGAAATATGGATAATTATTCCCTCGGACGATTCCTTTAAGTTCAACCACAGAACCATGTGAATGAAATTAATCCAGTGGTTTGCATGTTTATGAATTATCCATGACTCTTCGTCGATGAATAGAACTGCTCGCACGTTGGCAACCGAATCCGCAAGAAATTGGGATTGGATCTGCAAGCAGGACCACAGGACAGTCTCACAGTCCTCTTTCCCCACAGCCTCTCTGGAACTGAGGGATGCCGTCAGTAACACATCCTTAAGGTGAAAATGAGAATTACACCCTGTTTTAGAGCAAGACACCCCCTAAGAAGAAAACAGTTTTCAGAGCAACGGTCTTCAAATCTCGTCAGATAGTTGGTCATCATCGGTCTCAAACATCCCAGAGTTTAAAATGTCATTCCAACCGACACTTGTCGTAGCTAACGTAGGCGGCTAGCCTACGCGTAAAAGTTATAATAAACAACATGTTCAGAAACTTGCCAATAGGCTACTTTATTGTGGATTAGCCTACCTTGGTTCTGTTTGTGGAGCTTTAACCTGCATGTCGCGGCGTGGTTCTTCTGAATCGTTTCGTTTAGGGATTGCCTCTCAGTGACGTACTTGCGTTTGAAATTCCAGAGCCAAACTTCACTGCGGAAACCACTGAGCTCATCATTCCCAATGTACAGTGAGCGCGCGAGCTCTGCTCGGACACATCAGGGGCTCGTCAGCGCAGATGCTGCTCTCGCACACATCTTACATTATAGACGACGCTACTCATCTGACCGTTCATTTGCTAGGCTACATGACCGATTCCATGGGTTTCTACATCAGTCGTGCAATACTTTTCGATGGTATGAGGGAACCTCGAGCGTTTTACTTTTATCTCAGCTCGTTATACACCCTAAACACGCACTTATGCGCTTATCCTCATGTTTTCTGGTCTAGTTGCATAAATCAGACAAATCGTGTTATAGGTAAAAATAACAATAATAATTGCAGTGGCAATGTTCCTATATTCAGGGATGGTCGTAAACTAAATTTACTAATAAACAACATGAACATAAAACACCCTAAAGATTACGAAAACAGCCTATTTCCATTACATTTACAACATACAGCGAAGGCAAACAATATGCATAGTGATATATTTTGAACCAGACAGTTGATGTAGCATACCATTGACTTCCATAGTATTTTTTCCTACTATGGAAGTCAACCAACAATCTAAAAAATAACTTCCTTTATGTTCAACAGAAGAAATTCATTCAGGTTTGAAACATCTTAAAGGTGAGTAAATGATGACAGAATTTTTATTTTGAAGTGAATTAATGTAGAATTTTCTAAATAAGTATGGATGTAGGGGTACAAGTAACAATATGTGATCAGCTGTAGCTGATATTTCTTGATTTTCAGATGCTCCATTCAAGAAACGCACACCCAAACAGCACCACATGATGACATGTTACCTCTTAGCATCATAACCCCCTCTGAATCATTTCAGTAAACGTGACATGAGCTATGGTATATTCAAACTACGCATTCAAAACACAGGCATGACTCATAGGAAAGCTTTCTGTGTGATGTCACCAGATCCTGTGGGAAGGACTCAAGCTCAAGCTCATGGAAGATTATCAGAGCCAGAACACTTGCTACACAGTCAGACTCAGCCCCAAACTCCCATTATCCTCTCGTACAGAAAGAAATGGCCATTTTCTAATTTTTCAATTGCAATGAACAGGTTTATTCATTAGCCTACTCCAGCAGGTGAAGAACATGTCTTTACATCTCAAAGGAGAACACGCTCCTCCTGCCTGTGAAGTTCTTAGCTGATGCAGTTTTTTAACAATTCTGCAAACGTTTCTATTTTAGCTCCACATGTCAAACACACACACAAAGTGAGCAACCAAGCACCCTTTCTATTTTGGTCCATTCAACCATCATACTGGCACACACACACACACACACACATATATATATATATATATATATATATATATATATATATATACTGTATATATATATATATATATAATCAAGCAATGTACACAGGCAGCTCTGGGTTTTCCCTGAGGGTTTTATTTCCACTTCATACTACTGTATCTCTGTGGTGCTGGGTACAGAGTCATGCGTGAATTCTGGGAAGCGATGTCATGTCTGTTTGAGAAGTAATGCAAAGTGAATGCCCCTGCAATGCAAAACAAAGAAAATGTGAGCAGTTACAGCAAAACAGTGCAAACAAAGATTACAAACTTACACATATACACAACCCTCAAAACTCAAAATCAAAATCAATGGATTGACCAAAGAAGTACCAGAATAAGATAGCCTATTCCAGAATGCAATCAAATATTCAAAACTGATGGAAACTGAAATTAAATTAAAGTATTGGTCTTTTAAAAGTTTTTATTATTATTATTATTAGATTTACCACTATTCTGAATAAACAGGGACAGCCTGTCTCAATAGGGTAATGTAGCTAGTTGTGGCCCCTAGCTACAGTCAAACCAAAAATTATTGTTCACTTTTTTAGTGGGTGGACATAGTTCATTTATGTGAGTGAGGATAGAAAACGCATAAATAAAATAAAACCCAAAAATTCTTCAGTAGACTACCAGGAAAATGTATAACAATTTGGGACCTAAAATAATTCACATTGACCTGACCATATTTTGCTTAAGTATTTTTTTCTTAAGTTGCTTAAGTGACCTTTTTATACCACTGACTGAACACATGAAGCATTGCTAATGTTGACCTAAATTGGTACTATCCAATTGTATTCTTAAATTTAACAGCTGACAGCTATTCAAAATTAATTTGTGTAGGAGAATGATGGCCAAAACCAGTGAAATATCAACTGATTTGATAACTGATTTGATATAGTTCATTACATATTTTATTACCATTTTAAACTTTATAGCGAATAAACTGTTATAATGTGAGAAATGTTGAAGATGTCTGAATACATTTTGGTTTGACTATACACCTTTCTGTAGTGTAGATCCAATGACACTAAGTGCTAGATTCATAATCATTAATTGGATTATACCTTCCCGCACAGTGGCTTCATTTGCTGCACTCAAGAGGTTTGGTGGTTATGCCTGTTGGCCCTATGGGTACACCTTGATTACAATTTTTTATATCTCAATCGAAGACATTGTTAATTGGGTAATTTTGGAGGGGAAAACATTTCAATATGTTTCCGAGCAAGTCTTACACTGTAAAAAGTGTGTATGGTGCTGCTCTCACACAGAACTCCTGAGCATGGGACGGAGACGTCAACAGTCTGCAAAAACATCTCCAACCGCTGGGTGTCGCTTTCAAGGAGCACACTTGAATTTGTGAGACTGATGAAAAACAGTTAATGTAGATTACATTCAGGCAGCTAAGCAATTTGTTGGAGAAAAAATCGTTAGAAAAAAATAGTATAGTAATACTTTAGTTCCTCTAAACCAGGGAGTGAGCCATTTCTCTTTATGGCTCTGCTCTAAACTAAACATCATGCTGTAGGTTGAGCGAAATAGGCTATACAAAGTATATATATATATATATATATATATATATATATATATATATATATATATATATATATATATATATATATATATATATATATATATAAGCAGCCAATAGTAAAAAGAAATACGATCGAAAAAAAATGGCACTACTTATTTTCAAAAGACATTAGGCAGATATATACGTTTCTCTTTTTTAAATGTTTTTAATCGTGTTAGTGTATAAACTAAATATAATTTGCATTTAAATTATAAGCTAGTACTAAAATATCTTACAAATACGTTTTATAGTACTTCATTTACAAATAAAACTGTCATACAATCATATTTGTAAAAGATTATTCTTTTTGTTATTCAGCTTGCGTACTTTTCGCTCCATCAGTGAAATCCTCTGATTCGTTAGCCACATTCGTGAACGAATCGTGCAGACCGGTTTTGTGAATCGGTTCAACCAATTCATTGCAAAGATCCGACTCAAAAACGATTCATTCACAAAGCATGCATCGCTTGGCAGGGACTTATATTATTTAAAGTAGCAGGAAATCCCGCACAGGGACAATACACAATAAGCTGTCAACTGGCTACTTCAAATTCGGCATTCTGTTCAGGTGGGTTGTTTTTTATTTTTATTTTATTTTTCTGTTCAAAGGGAACGCACGCGGTGTCACCGATAACGTTCGCGGGCTCTGTTTGGAGTTTATTATGCGTGTTGTATGGCAAGCGCTAGAGTCAGTGTTTTCGAAAACGCGTTAAAATATGCCTGCATGATCATAGAAAGTATACTTTCAAGGCCAGCCGATTTAGTAAACCATTTGGGTTGCACATTGGTTGGACATTCCATTGTTTACTCCAAACCAGGATAGTGGAGTAAATTTTAGCAGCAGTGTTAGCTGCTGTTGTCAGTGGCAACAGGGGCTTCTGGTTCGCCATAGTCGAATGTAGCTTGCGTTGCGATTCAGGAAAGGCCATTACCATTCGTGCAGCTGGAAGTGTCGCTAGCGCTGATAAGTGGCGATCGGTGGCGATCTTGTTGCCATACTGTTTAGGCACGTCACTTCCGGATTGCTTGTTTCCTTTTTGGATGTTTATATATCAAAAGCCCATTGATTCATTGATTTTGAATTATAAAAAGCGTATGGTTATCGTCGATAACCTGCTTTGAACCAAATGCTTGTATTCGTAAAGATAAATAAAACGGCTACGATTGAATCGTTGGTTAATCTCTAACGAAGTGCAAATGTTTATGTTGACGGCGGTGAAGTAACTAAATGATTAATTCTATCTCTAATTTGTTTGGTTTTCATTATAATATGTTGTCGCGAATCATTCGAAATGAAATATGCTTTACATTTTTATATCTCAGTTATGAAAAGGAGCAGAAATGAAGAGGAAACATGGCAGAGACCGAACAAGATCCCTCGGTCCGAGGCAAGTTTGTTTACGTCCTTTTGCATGTTATTCTTCAACAATAATATTTACTTCGATAACGTTAAGCTTTTTTTAAAAAATGAAAGTACTTGTATTGCACTTTTAAATTTACGGTTGTGAAAAATTATCCTTTTAGTTATTGAGCTGGAATGAATATTGAATTGGCTACAACTCAAAGGGTGTTGATTATGAATTTGAATAATAATTTACTTAATTGCAATTCTAAGAAATCCCATACAGTTACACAAACGTGTTTTTTCTGTAATGTGCATTTATTATCTGAATTACTGAGAATTTTTATTTATTTAATGGATGGACATTCATTTGTAAGTACAGTCAAAGTAAAGTACAGTCAAAAGACAAAACAGCAATCAAAAAGATTTTAGTTTCAATACAGGATCTCAAAAAGTGGTAACGTTTAAGCCCGGCTTCACAGACAGGGCTTAGCCTTAGCCCAGGATTAGGCCTTTGTTCAATTAATAATAATAATAATATTTTTTTACAATTATATTGGCCTAGCACTTTTCTGGGTACTCAAAGCACTTTACATGGAAGGGGGAATCTCCTTAACCACCAGCAATGTGCAGCATCCACCTGGATGATGTGATGGCAGCCATATTGCATCAGAACGCCCACCACACACACCAGCTTATTGGTGGAGAGAAGAGAGTGATGAAGCCAATCAGTATTTATAGAAGGGGATGATTAGGAGGCCATGATGGACAGAGGCCAATTGGCAAAACCCCTACTCTTTTTCAAGGACCTCCTGAGATCTCATCCGAAGGATGTAAATAGGGCATTTAAATTAAAAAAAGACATTTAAATTATAAAAAAGATAGTTCACTTTGAAATTAATTTTTGATATGTTTTAGCTTACCTCAAGGGCATCCAAGATTTAGGTGTCTTTGTTTCCACAGTATTTTCAGTTTTGATATATTTCGGTCAAACCGTTGTTGTCTATCAGTCATATAATGCAGGTTTAGGGGGTCCTCCCTCAGTTCACCTCAAAGAGCATGCACAGAGAAGTCCAAATTAAACATGATTTAATGACTCGTAAATGTAAGTACACGTTGATGGCCTAAGACACGAAGCGAGCGGTTTCTGTGAGAAAACGAACAGTATCGTTTTTACCTCGTGTAACCACAGCCATGTCCAACTGATCTTACGGCATGGGCGCTTCGGTCTGCGCATGTGCTGGAAGTGATCGCTTGCGCGTGTACGTCACTCATGGTTTATACAGAGATTTCGGAAGTTTTACCTTTCACTAAACATATTTAGAATATCGAAATCGTCTTCCATTGCGATTTCCTGTATGTCTAAATATATTTAGATCTTCTCAGTAATTTTCATTTAAGGCTTCTAAATAATTGGCTGTAAGTGGGTTAGGAATAGGATTTCAAGTGATTTTGTAAAAATCGTCAAAAAAGAAAATCACATTCCCCACCCCACCTTTAAGGTACTTTTATAAACTTGTCTTAGGAAAAAAAACATTACTGGTGTGCAACTTGAGACAAAACAATGGTACTGACATATTTTAATATATGCCAGTGCAAGCTTAAGCCTTGTCTGTGAAATGGGAGTTAGACTGTTACAACAAAGAAAGTAATTAGCCTAGCAGCAGAATGAAGCATGCAAAAGTTACAGTACTAATTTCTAGGTTCTTAATCAAATATCCATGTATCTTTTGTTACTTCAATTCTGAATGGTGCACAAACCTGCTTTCCACTTGTCAGAATTGCATTTCATCTCTTCCAGTTGTGATCTGTTTTTTGATAGGTTGAAAAAATAATATCAGATAAGGTTGGGACTGCAGTGGAGCAGTCTGACCTCAAGATGAAGAATTTGATGGAAAGAATCAGTGTGGTGAATAGTGAACCCAAATATGATGCCAGAATCAAGAAACTGGAAGTAAGTGACCAGAATGCCCATTTCTGTGGACTTCAGTATGTCATTTGCATTTTTGGACAATATGTGTGTTAAACTGTAGTGCCCCGCAGGCCTGAATGCCATAAACACCATATGCATTTTCTAAATCAAACTCAAACCTCTTTTGTTTCCAGGCCCATGTAAAGAAAATAAAGCGAAGAGGAGATGCAGTATTTGCATATATCAGAAAATTCAGATCCATAGGGATTTCTCACAGTCAGGTATGAACTAGATTATGAGATGAATAATTATAATTTTACATTTTATTTGTAATGCGCCTTTCTCAAACTCAAAGCGCTAAGCTCAAAGATTGATTTGGTTTGATTATCATAATTGAAGAAAAAAATGTATAAATCTGTCTTTTATTGAGGTATTTATTATGTATAAACCATCACTGTGTATCTTTTTAACAGTCTCCCCCTTCTTTAAGTCCTCCGCCTGACCATCCACAGCGATGCATCTCTCCAGCCGAACCAATAATCTATATGTCCAGGTATGCTGCAGTATTGTCGGCATATTACAAAGCTTCATTAATAAAACATGCATGCCACCAATTTAGTAAAAATCATTGTTCATTTTGGTATAGAAACTGAATACACTTATGCTGCAGACTGATGCTTTTCAAATTCTGTTAGGAAAATGAGGCAGAGAGTCTGCTGTTTGAATGACAATCACTGAAATATTCCATTTACTGTCTAATCAGAAGATATTCTAATAGAATAATGTGAAATCATCTCAGTGGTCCCCTGTGGATCTTTTGCTTTTCGGTTGGTTGTTTTAAATTCAGTAATGATTCAAGGCTGCAGTCTTGGCACCTTTCCATTTCTTTTCTGTTCCCGAGATGCTTCATGCCGAGTGGCGTTACTTCGCTTTCATTTGTGGCTGTTGCAGCCTTTTAAACTAGTGTGCTTCACTGGAAAGACATTCATTGCCACTTAATGTTTGTGTACCAAGGCCAACAAACCACACTCATTCAAAGCAATGATTACAGCTATTTGTTATTCTAGGCATCTGCTTAATTGTTGAATTACCACAATCACAATTCACTGTAAGACCTCAAGTGTGATGGACAGAAACTCGATTAGCTCGGCTCTACTGTTTTTAAATGTATCTGAGACGTAGAACACTGCATTATAGTGATTTAAATATAATAGTAATACATTGAATAATAAAATCTGAATAAAACCAAGGTAAGTGTACTACATTGTGTTTGGATGAATTTCATGAATTCTGATAATTTTGTGCGCATCAATATAAGGAAGTATATTGATTGTTGAAAACATTGATATGGAGACATATTTAGGGGCGTCATTGAAAAAAACAAATGCAGAAAAAAATTCCATGTGCGCTGGAAGGGCTTGGCCAGTAACACACCTACTGTATGCAATCTGCCCTGTGTTTTGGGGTGTATGAATAATTGTGGTAAAAATAAGCACAATTCTTAGCAAATAAATAGGAATAATGAAATTTTGATGTAAAATGAAGAGGTTTACTCATGTCATGTGCACATGTAAACAGTCATTGTATGTTTGATTTGTCTGCTAGAGATGCTGCAAAATTCGAATTCTGGCCAATACCGCCAACAGTGTTGTGCAAGTTACTTCCAAACTGTAATACATTAGGTATTACTTGTTACTGTTATTTAAAAGTAATGCATTACCTTACAATATTACTGTCTCAGAATTGTAATGCGTTACATTACTCATGTATTACTTTTGAGTTACTTTCACCAAAATAACTAAGTAGTACTTAACTTTGGGGCTGTAACGATATGCAATATGAAACCGAAATCGCGATTCGCCACACGACTCAGATCCACGAACCTACAGAATCGCGACACACCTCTTCCAACTCCAGCGTTATTCTCCTTACCGTCCAGATCCAATGCTGCCTTATCTTTAAATTAGGCTATTTTAGTATTATTTGAAGTTAACATTATAAAATACGTAGACCTACACCACAAAACTAGTTGAGGATAAATTATTTAAAATTGGGGAAGTCCAGCATTATGGACATGACATTTGCAGTCAAAACTTGAAATAAAAATTCTCAGAAAATACATGCATTGAAACGTATATAGGCTATTTCCTTAAAGGACAGACATTAGACAAATATCAGTCTATGTTTTATTTTTAATATTAGGGAAAAGACACACATTCATGCATGACAAAAAAAAATAGGAGGCAAAATATATTTTTTTGTAATTCTGTTAATTACACTGCGCAAATCGGATGAGGAAGGGTTGGCATTTTAGTTTTCGTGTTCGCATTTATGAGGAAAAAACAATGTTACAGACGCGACCGCTCTGAACTGGCACAAAAAGTCTGTTTTAAAACTTTAACATAGTCTGTTGCCTTTAAGAAGTAAAATACACTGTAATACAACTGTAATACAAGCCTGACTGAACATGTAACGAGTAGAATATTACTGAAAATTGATTAGTAATGCCTTACACTACTGCGTTACAGCAAAAAGTAATATGTTACTGTAATGTATTACTTTTGTAATGCGTCACTCCCAACACTGACCGCCAAATTGAGTCTTTTTGGTATGAAATAAAACCACTAAATACAATTCTATACAACTGAATTTAGGCATCACAACATTATAATGTACAGCATGAAAGTGGATATTATTTTGTGATTTGCATTTGGCAAATGTTTTTAAAGATGAATTTTTAAGTGAGTATTGGGTAATAAAATGTAAAAACAAGGTGAAGTGGGAATGCACAATTTAATCGTCCAAAAAAGTGTAGAAATTATACTTCACTTTTCAATGTCTTGTTGGGGTGCAGAATTCTAATTTCATGCAATATTTTTGTTTTTTTAGCAGAAGTTCGGTCAACGGAGGCAGTTTCATTGACAACGCTTCAGTGTCATCAGCAGGTCGTGTTGCTATCATCATTATAATATTCTAGCTTCAACAATGTCAAATGTTTGTAATTCAACAGATTAAAATTATTGTTTTTGCACTAATAGTCAACGACTGTGTGATGTCTACATTGAGAAGACCAAAGGAAGGGTTCTGGCAGAGTTTGGTAACTATCATTCATTACATATTTGTTCTTGTATAAGATTTGCAATATGTCTTATGTGATTTGCGATGACATGGCCAGACCGTGCTGGAGACAATACATTTTACGGTTCAAGGTTCAATTTATTTATAAAGCACATTATAATACAACAGGAGTTGATCAAAGTGCTGTACATACGATAGAATAAAATTCAACTGTACATAACATGCTGTACATAAGATTAAAAAATAAATAAAAATAAAAAATTTAAAAAATCAGTGAATCACAGTTAAATTCTACGCCTTTCTATGGACATCACAACCTCTCAATAAAAACCAATTTCACCAATACGTACTCATCGACCTATTACATCAACGTACTCATGGACAGTCGAACGCTAATGCAAAAAAGTACGTTTTTAAGTGACCTTTAAAATCATTGATGGAGGAACATTCCCTAATATATTGGGGTAAACAATTCCACATCCTGGGGGCAGCTGCTGTAAAAGCACGGTTTCCTCTCAGTTTCCTGAATGTTCGCGGTACCACCAGGAGATTTGTTGATTCTGACCTCAAGGTTCTTTTTGGTTTATGAACCTGGATAAGATCCGCTATATAAGTAGGGGCAAGACCGTGTAATGCTTTGAAACGAAATAAAAGTATTTTAAAATTTATCCTGTATGGCACTGGCAACCAATGTAGTTTTTGTAATATTGAAATGATATGCTCGAATTTTCGAGTGCCTGTCAGGAGTCTAGCGGCTGCATTTTGTACCAGTTGTAATCTATGTAAACTTTTTTGTTGAACACCGTAGTACAATGCATTTCCATAGTCCAGTCTCGAAAAAATTAACGCATGAACCATTTTTTCCAGGTCTTTCTGTGCTACAAATGGCTTAATTTTAGCAACTAATCTTAGCTGGAAGAAACTCGTTTTAACTGCTAGATTGATCTGTTTATCGAATCTTAAAGCACTATCACAAGTTATACCTAGATTTTTTACTTGATGTTTCAGATAGGGGGATAGTGTACCTAATTCTATTTTAGCTAAGTCTGCAGACAGAAAATTCGCAGACATCCACTTTTTTTATCTCCCCGAGACACTCTACCAGCCTACCAACAGCAGCAGGGACAGTTGGTTTTAGGGGTAGATATAACTGGGTGTCGTCTGCATAACAATGAAAGGAAATTTCATAATTTCTCTTAATCTGACCAAATGGGAGCATGTAAAGTGAGAAGAAGATTGGTGCCAAAATGGATCCTTGTGGAATGCCACAAGACAAAGACGCAGATCTTGAAGTGCATTCACCCATTTGTACTGGAAAAGTTCTATTGAAATTTCTATTTAAATTGTTTATATATAAACTTCAAATTTGAAAACCGTTCTCTTTTCATTTCAGCGGTCTAAGAAACAGGTTGTTGACCTTACGGAGGAAGACAGAGGTATTTGACCTGGAATTCAAATCAAATTACTTTATAAACAATTGTATTGACTGTATGATGTGTTTTTGTTCTGGTTCAGCTGCCAGACTGAAAGAAGAGAGTCAGCTTACCCAGCCACCAGATCAGGTACGTCATCATGCTCTCTCTCGGGTTCTCTCAAATTCTGCAACATTTTCAGACTGTTTCTTACTAGTTTTGTTTTCGCATTTGTGCTCTGCAGAAATTGGTACCTTCAAAACCAGAGCCATCAAAACCCTCAAGTACGCCACCTAAAGCCATAAAAGGTATGATTCCATGTAATTTATCATGTTTGTTTTTCTTTTTTCTTAATATTAACAAGTCTTTGAGTCTTTTTACTGTAATTTTCTTAAATAAACAGAAGAAAATCAGAGTGTTATGGAGGAGAACCGTGTCATTTCTCCAGTACTGTCGGAAAAGGTAAGCAATTCTTTTGTATGTGCTACTACACCACTAAGTTTTATGTCATAACAGCCATAACATTTCAGTTATACCTTTCTTTAATAGGAGGACTGGCTCTCCAAACTCCATCCTTTTCCGCACACCCCGTTCCCCAAGGAGCTTCCGGTTGTAGCTGCCTCTCATAATTTGCCCCAGAAGCTGGATTTGAAACTAGCTCGGATTGGACAAGAATTAGGCATCGCGTGGAACGTTGAACCGAAAGATCCCCACGCAGCTGAGATGGATTGCTACTACATTTACGTTTCCCATGAACACAAAAACTGCACTTTTTCAGAATGGAAGTGCCTCGGAGTGATCAAGGCCATGCCTCTTCCAATGGCCTGCAAGGTGTCTGACTGCAAAGATAAACGACTGTGTTTTACTGTTGTGGGGAAGGATATATATGGACGTTATGGGCCGTACAGTGACATAGGTACTGTTGCACCAGGACAAATATGATTTTGGCAACAATTCTCTAGTTTTTCGGAACCCTTGTTCATATTAGAATTCAGGTAGGATGAAAGGGACTCTTTATATTGAAATATGGAATAATTCATTTTTTAAGATTTAAATTTCTCAAAAGATGTTGAGTTCAGTAAAAATAAAGTTGAAGCTGCTGTTTTTCTCCTTTTTTGTATTTTAGTTGTTTTTCTTTCTCTGACAAGAGAATATGTTTGTTTTCGTTTGTTCTTCTAAATGTCAGAAAGCCCTGAAAGTCCTCCGTGTTATATTTGAAAGGCACTACCACAGAACCATTATGGGGAAAAAAAGCTGTAGTATTGTATTGTTTTTATTGGTTATAAAATTACAAAATGATTTCATTTGCCTCTGGCCTTCATAATATGAAATCTTCAGCGGTATGAGTCAACAAAGCAATCACTAGCTATAATAGACGGGAGTGAAATCTGATTGTTAACGTGCAAAAAATTATTTGAGACAACATTTGTTTCCTGTAATGACTGCATTTGAGGATTCTACTTCATGCTCGAATGAAAATATACCACTAAAGCCAATGTTCATTGAGTCTACTAGTCTCAGAAATGACTTTATAAATGTTGAAGTCTTGAATTCAGCTTTGTTCCATTTTCTGCTATAAGAGCTGATGTTTGGTATTTATTTAGATCTTGATTTCATCTTTAATTTATTTCACAGATGAAGTGAGGAACTTTCCATAAAATATAATTTTCCTCAGATGGTACAAATAGCATTGTCTGACTAAAATCAATACAATCATCCAACTACAGAAATTCATTTATCCAGATGAAGTCTTTCACGCAAACATTAAACATTGTTGCACTATTGACATCTAAATAGAAAAAAAATTACTTAATGTTTTGAGAATGGGAAATGTCTGGAAAGTATTATTCCACAACAAGGTGTATCCTAAAATGGAATAGGTATTAAATGTTCTAATTAAACTATTTAATTACTTTTAGACACTGGAAGGTATTATGCTTAACCTGGAGAAGAAAAATAAGTAAAAAAAAAAAAAATGCATATATATACACTGCTCAAAAAAATAAAGGGAACACTAAAATAACACATCATAGATCTGAATGAATGAAATAATCTTATTAAATACTTTTTTCTTGTTTTTACTTTTTAAGTGTTTTTTAAGTGTTCCCTTTATTTTTTTGAGCAATATATATTTTTTTATAGTCAAACCATTTCTCCAACTGTCTTGGATCATATTTGTCACCATATTTTGAGAATGACCCAGCAGTATTTTGCTGTACACCAAAACAGAAAGAGAGTCTCAAACGTTTTTTTTTTTTTTTTTTTTTATGTAAAATACATTTATTTGATTTAAAAAAGAACAATATTGAGCCCTTGGTGGGATCAGTCTCCAGAAACAGAGCAGACCTGAACAAGTCAGCAGACGTTTAAAAAAAACAAAGCTGCCACATTGTGGTTTCATTCCAATTACAAAAGCCTTCACTAATATTCATTAAGACCTTCTGAAAAGTCAGCATTAAACAAAAATGTTCAGGTCTGTTTATATAATACTTCATTAAAAAATATATATATATTAACAGCAACAATGCAGTTAGTCATAATAAATACAGCTTAACTTCACTTTCGCCTAAATAATGTTAGCTAAATGCTTTTTATTCCATAGCAGATTTGAGGATGAAAAGATTACATACAAGACAGGAAAGCTGAACCCATTGGTGTGCTTCACCAACACCATCATCTTCAGGTTACAGTATTTGCATGAATATGACGCATATCCCGAGTGTCCCAATCAAACACAATGCCTAAAGAACTACAGATCTGTACTTGTGTTAATAATGATTTCAAATTAAATGCTGCAAACAAATAAAAACATGCAATATAAGTAGTCAACACTAAAAAACTATCATACAAAAAAAACAACTATACACGAGAACATATCGTGCTACTAATATTGACAATTTGTTCAGCTTCAAGTATGATATAGTGCTCAGCAAACTGCCAGCACAATATTTCAGATATTGTTGTTTTTAGTTACTTTTTTTACCCAAGCACATACTGTATAATGACCAGGAAACATCACACTATAGCATGTTATTTACTACAGTATGAGGCCAATATCACACCATGTATTGAGTAAATACACGTCGAGCCCATAGTGGTTCCATGTTATAAATATATCTCCCACTCGTGTCTTTTTCCACTCCCTATTTTAACTCTAAATCACAGCACTATTTTATTTTACTGGGCAGGTAGAACACACAAAAAGATTTTTTAAAACGAAAAGTGACAAAGGCTACTATGAATCAAATCTAATTAGGTTTCCAGTATGCAGTGATTAATATTACAAGTTATCTACTTCATTCTAACATTGGAAAGTATTTCATCTACATATAAAAACAAGTATCATTACAAATAAAAGTCTCTTGGCTAAGGCTGTAGCTGGTGGCAGCTAGCGAGGTGGTGTGTTGCGCTTTATTTGCGTTTTCTTAGTACAAGATACATCAAGCCGCTCAGAAATGTAATGGGGAAGGCGACCCAGGCGACGACCAATGCGTACCCAAACTCTCCATTCTCAAATTTAAGATTTGTGTTTAAGTTTGAGTGCTGTGCTGTGAAGATGGATGCACCGGTCATCACACAGAAGGCTGTGGAAGTAAAGAAAAAAGAGGCCATTTAGAGTTGGTTGGTTGGTTGGTTGCATTCCAGTTGATTGCCATTTCAGTTTCACAGGCTGTTATGTGGCATTTACAGGTTCAACAAATAACAAAACAGATGCCATCATTGCTCACTCTTTATGTTAAGTGCCTTTAACTACAGAACAATGTATTAAAAAAAAAAACTGTTAGGTACTTATTGTGTTCATATTGTTTTGCAAAACACTTTTGCAGCTATAGAGGTGGGATACGGGTAAGGTTAGGCACAGGTTTGGTGGTAGTAAGGGAAGGTTCAAAAGTGTAGTTATAGATCATTGATTACACAAATTATCGCTGTATTTTTAAAATACAAATACAATGTAAAAATATGTTCTGTACACAATTTATCACATGATTCATGAAATGTTAGTAATACATAGTAGTTAAAGATATTTATAAGAGCCACAAGAGTCTTTTACAAAGTCTTGATTGGTCGAATGGGTGAATGTTCAAAAAACATTATTTTTCACATAAAGCACCTCCTTCCGAAATCACAATGTGCTTTGATTGTGGTGTGACAAGTTTGTTGGTATTGGTCAACTGCTTATCATAAAGGCAAGCTTCAGCACATTACAAATGCCCTTTTTATTTGTATGTCCCTTTAATTATTTAAATGAGGGATTTTGTGAAATTTCAAGACTATACAATCAATGTGTTTCATGGGGTTATAAAGTCAGGCCCCACCCAAACATTTTCCAAATTGGGGCTATTTACAGACTAAAAAAAAAATTACTGCATGTCAAATAATTGTTTCGTCACAAAATCACCCACTTCAAGGTGATTCAAGACCTCTCTTAACTTGTGTAATGACCAGCTAACTTGCATAGTACATATATACAATAACTGAGAAATCGTAATAACTGAGAAATCGTAAATGTGATGATAAAGATGATTTAACATAAAAAAATGATAAAGATGATTTAACATATATATATATATATGTGTACTGGTATACATATGTAGTGGTACATATACAGTATGGTACAAACTGGTATATCAGTGTGGGCATAAACTCACCAGATAAGAGCTGGATGATGGCCGTAAAGACAAATCTTTCCCCCTGCTTCAGACGGAAGAGCTGAAGGATGAAGACAAAGAAACCCACACAGCACAATATAGTGGCCAGTATCATGGTGGCCTGGATAGTCTGAAGATAGGCTGATAAAGAAGAAGAGAACTTGACACACGTTTCATAAAATAAATAAATACTGGTTCAATTTTTAGATTTTATGATAATCTATGCCTACCTGCATCCGAGGTTGCACTGTTCTTTATATCATGACAGTTTGTGTCGTTGCATTCATACCAGAGATATGCGAAGTTGTTGTTCGAAACCAACCATTTCTAGAAAAGACGGAGAATGGTTTAGTTTTACTTTATATAATATAATATCAAATAAACACAATGTACCAGTCAAAAGTTTGGAAACATTGCAATCTTGTTATGCTTATGAAACAAGTATCTTATGCTTGCCAAGGCTGCATTTATTTAGCTACTTGCTGAAAATTGTCATCACATAAAATTACATTTTAAAATAATACTCAAATAAAAAACAGTTATTTTGATTTGTAATAATATTTTGCAATATTTTTACTGATCAAATAAATGCAACCTTGGTGAGCATATGATACTTTTTTTATACACATACATACCTTCATAAACACACAGACACACACACATGGTTTCACTATCTTTGTGGGCACTCTCCATAGACATAATGGTTTTTTACAAAAAAAAAAAAAAAAAAAAAAACATAATTTTGCTGGATGACTTAAACACCAAAGTTTATTTCCGAGAGTTTTGCTAGGATTTTTTGCTGAAATCCTAAACACGAACAATGAGCAGTAAGAGCAGATGAATTTAAAAAAGACAAAAGAAAAATCAACTTACGTTTCTGATGGTTGCTATGAAGAGTAGTATTGCGGAGGTGATGTGGAAGAGGATGATGGCGGCCAAAATAATCAACATGGCTGATGGTGGAACAAAAAATCAAAAGCAGTAGAATCTGTAAAAACAAGGAAAACACATGAATATTAAACAGCCTTTTGAATGAATACACTGACACTCATGAGAACTGGAACTGGAACTGGAATTTGAGCAATAATAGTGTAAACAGTGATTCTCTGGATTTGGTGGGAAAATCACCATGTGTCCACTTGAACAGCCTCTTGTTTTTACTCTGAACTTTGACCTTGGAAGACTTTTCCACATCTAATTGTATTTTAAAAATACTACTTTAGAACAGTGAACACCAATGATAGGAAATTAACAAACAAACATTATTTTTTAAATTATTTATTATTTATTAATTACCTGATTTTGTTTAGCACACTTGGTAGACCTTGAACTAATGTTTAACAGTAAAATAAATAAATACAACAATGCAGATTAAAACCATTTTATATTATTATTTAATAAACTTTTTTTAGGATGATTTGAGATTCATAAAGTCAGAATTGTGACATATAAAGTCAAAATTGATTAATATAAAGTTGAAAAAGCATGTTATAAAGTCAGAAATGTGAGATATAACCTATTCTGAAAACCTATTCTATTTTTTCCTTAGAATTGTCTTGATTACTCGCAATTGCGAGTTTATATCT